ACATATTGCCCTATCGAACTCTACCGATTCTCTACCGAAATATTTCTATCGAATTATTATCGTACCTTATCGAAATGTTTTGGTAGGGCAACGACACTCAATATTATTAAAATGGTATTACCCAACCGTACGAAAATATTATTCATAAATAAAATTTTATTTTAATAATCCATTTATTATATATAAAAAGTGAACATAGTATCATAACTAACTACTATTAGTTAAAATTAATTATACTCTTTAGGTATGTCAAAAATATTTTAAATTACTTTCATTAATGATGATATATTTGATGTTAAAAGTTTTTGTGTTATAATTTTATTTAAAAAATATTTTACATTAGGTAAATTTAGAACATATATTGAGGACACTTATATTTTAAAAACTAAAACATGTATACCTGCTTTGAAAAAAATGATATTCAATTTAGACTTAAATAGTAGATAATATAAATTGGTAATTAACATTACCCTACCCTACCGAAACTTTTGGTATACCGAAATTTTTAGTAAGGCAATGGTAATGGATTTCATAATACTGAAATTTCGGTAATGATTGCCCTACCAAACCCACCCCTAACGGTAATTATAGCTTTACGTGAATGTGTGTGTGAATACATGGTAAGTAAGTCATTGAGTGGATGATAATGCATGAAGCATGCACTATATTGAACAAATTGGCAATAATGAATTAATGATATTAATGGTGCGTCATTAATTAGAGCATCTTCAATCATTGTTTTCTATAAATGTACAAATAGCTAAATGCTATTTTAGCCACTTAATAATAGTGCTTTACTAAGTTATTTATTTACAACAATCCAACCATGCTATCTTTCCATATACTTATCTACCTTCGAATTATATTTTAACTAGTAATTTGACCCGTGCAATGCATGCACATAATTCAAAGAAAAAAATATGCATATAAAATTAAACTTATTCAGCTATTCCATACCGACTATGCACATAAAATTTTATTTTGATTATCTAAATTTTAGTTATTACTATCTCCTTCCCAAATTAAGTGGCATTTTAGTCAAAATCGTACAGATTAAGAAACCTAATTATTAGCCTATGTTTTAATAGAAAAACCCCAAATTACCCTTTGCAATGCTATTAAATGAGCTCTTAGTAAAACTCAACCAAAGATAATTAGTGGTACAAATTAATGACTTTGAACAATCAATGATAAATGGCAAACTTGATAAAAAAAAAAATTATTTTTTCCTTGAAAACTTAAAATGACACTTAATATAGGATTTTTTCTTTTGGGTTAAAATGCCACTTAATTTGGGAAGGAGGTAGTATAATTATAAACGATATGTGTACTCTTTTGTCTATTTGTCTATCATCTTTTAGGATATTTTGCTAGTGAATAGTCAATAGATATTTCCTAAAAAAATAAAAGAATAGTCAATATATATATTAATTAGCTAATGGTTTAAAGTATTCTAATAATTGTAGTACATTGCACCTCACCCTATTATTGAGGCATGCCCATATAATAGTCATAATCAATGTGTGTGTCATCTTTTATGACATTTAGAAAATATAAGAAAAAATCTCCATAGTTTATTACTCGATTAATTAATAATTTCACTTGAATATACAACGTACTAAATTAATAATTTGTTAAATGTGTAACATAATATAAATTTAGAAAACATAAGAAAAAATCTCCAGAGTTTAGTACTCGATTAATTAATAATTTCACTTGAATATACATCGTGCTAAATTAATAATTTGCTAAATGTGTAACATAATAGGAATTTAAAAATGTATTTAGGCCCATTTAATATATTAATTTATAACTCTTTAGTACTTAGAGGGTGTTTGGCTAAGCTTATTTTAAACAGTTGATAAGCTCTTACGTCTGATAAGATGTTTTAAGAGCTGATAAGCTGTTACATCTTATTTTTAGGATTAGTTTTTAGAGTGTTTGGATAATAGGCTTATTTCCTATTTTTACTCATTAAAAGATCTTAAATAAAAATGTGGTACTTATTTAAAAAGATCTTATTTGCTCCCCAACAACTTATTTTAAAAAAAAATAAGATTTTTTTCTAAAAAATTACCAAACACTTTGGAAGAGCTTATAAGCTCTAAAACATCTTATAAGCTCCTTTTAACATCTTATAAGCTTAGCCAAACACCCTCTTAGTACATTTTGTGATTGATAAAAGGGCAAAATACAGTTTGCACCCTTAAACTATAGGGGTGGTAACACTTACCCCCTTAAAGTTACGAATGTAACACTTACCCCCCTCATTAATGAATTTAAAGGTAAAACTTTGACTTTGAATGATGTGGCATTCTTTCTTTCCAAATTGTCCTTCTAGCCATTAAATAAATAATGAATATGTAATAATAAAAATTCGACAACTTTGCCAAAACTTAATTTTATTATTTCAATATTGTAAATTTATGAATGAAAAAAAATTGAATTTTAGTGTATTTTTGTTTTATCTTGTGTTCATTTGTAGCTAATAAAAAGTTAACGATTATTCGAATTTTAATTATGATTTTATAGTTTATATAGTTATTTTAATGCGTGTATGACTCTAATATAATTATCCCACTTTTTACTTTGAGAATCACAAAATGTATTCAAAAGTTAATAAGAAATTATAATTTAAATATTTAAATATTATTTTATAAAAATTTATATTTAACTAACTAAAATAAATTTTCAAATCAATAATTATCATAAAAAAAATTGGCCATTTAAGTCTTGAATTTTTTTTTCTTGCAAATGTTTAACGTATTTAATATATTTTTTAAAATGTTGAGATTTTTATTTATATTAGGGTCTATAGTAACTAAAATGTGGAGTTAAACATAAATCAAAATATTTTTTTTAATAATTATTATATTTTATAAAATTTAGTTTTTGAAATATTATTGAAAATATTTTATTATATATGCATCAATATAATAGCTAGAAGGACAAGTTGGGAAGAAAAAATGCCACATCATTCAAAGTCAAAGTTTTATCACTAAATTCATTAATGAGGGGGTAAGTGTTACATTTGTAACTTTAAGGGGGTAAGTGTTACCACCCCTATAGTTTAAGGGTGCAAACTGTATTTAGCCCTTGATAAAACTTAATTAAATATAGTTGACATCCTAGTTACTCAGTTATTACTTATTAGCAAAACGGTCCACTGAACAATGCTCGCTCATTAGCGTCGCTCGTGAAACACATTAGATTTCGACGAGCAAGGTTATTTAGGTTACAGAAAATGTACTTTGGTACAGTTTATAATTTTAATAAGATTATTATTTAATTTGTTTTTTTTTTCTTTTCTTTAATTTTTCGTATTTTCCGATTTAATTAATTTGTTTCAGATTTATTGGTCTTTATAAAATTTCAGCATTATAAATACGCGTAGCTGGGAATGTTAAACTTTCGATTTAATACATTTTTTAGAGAATTTTCTCTTATTTCTAGTGGATTTCGGATATGTCTTTGTTCGATAGAATTAATTCATATAATTTAATATATTTTCAAAATTTCGTGTTGCATACGTATGACGAAGTTCAACACATATGTTGTACAAATGTATGCAATTTAAAAAAATAAAAATTGGAATCGAGCATGTTTAATTGAATGAATACACTATTTACAACAATATTTTGTATAGTTTTAATATTATCTCTTTGACAAAACTACATGTTCCTCTTCGAAAATATTATCATACGCTAATTAAAATCATATACATGTACTATAAAATATCAAATGAAAAACATTTTGCAACTAAAATAATTTGTATTTGCTTTATAATGAAAACATTTTAAAATCATTTGAACTATAAAATTGCTTTCTTTGACAAATTAAATTTGCAACTGTCACTAAATAATTTTCTTTGTATGATTTATCGTACACATAAACATAAAATATTTATTTTTTTATTTGTAAAGATTAAACATAAAACAAATTGAATTACCGGGCTGGCATAAATCAAGAATTAATTAATTCTTAATTAATTAATCTTGTGAAAACAAATCTTATTACCTGGATGCATGCCACTAGGCGAAAGAATATGTTTTGGATTTAATAAAGTAATTAAAAAAAGGAAGTTGTTTCTCTATATAATTTTTGGAAGTGGGGTATAATTTCCAAATTCCAGAGAATTTTGTAAACTAAAGCAACAAGATATATATAATTCATTGCATAATTAAAATAGTGTCAGGTGAATGCAATTGTTGTCGTTTCTTCTTGCAATAATTACAATGTTTTCTATGAATAATTGAAGGGAAAATTACAGTTTTCATCCCACAAGATTGAAATGATTACACATTTGGTTCCCAAATTCATAAAAAACACATTTGGTCCTTCATGTTTCAAAAATTCAACAGTTTTAACCGTTTTCATCAATTTTCTGTTAAAGTTAATATGGCAGTCGATATATCGTCCGCCATATCGGTAGCGGGCATAAACATTTACGATATTTGTGTGGCGATTTTGAAAATCGTTTTTTTTGACGGTGAGGCGGTCTGTGGCGGGTCAAATCGATATATCGGGGCGGGTCGTCAAACTTCGAGCGATATATGAAAAAATATTTTTTTCTAATTTTTATTTATTAACTTTTATTACAAGGAAAATAAGGTTTTTATTATTTTTTTTTTCAATTCCAACCATTATCTCTTTCAATCAAACCCAAATTCAGCGACTTCGTAACAAAAACCTAGCCTAAAAAAAACAAAAATACAAAACAATCCAGACACCGCGGCGGCAAAAATACAAAACAATCCAGACACCGCGGCGGCAAAAATACAAAACAATCCAGACACCGCGGCGGCATTCTCTACCTCATTATTAATGTTAAACTTTTGTTATGTGATTAAAGAATATATAAACGATGAGAAGAGAATCAAGTTCAATTTTGTTTTATACGTTTTAAGTATTTATAAATAAGATATAGAAATATATTACACTAAATCAAAAAACCAATTTATTTCCAATATATCTCCGATTAATCACCGCCGCAACGATTTATCGTGTGGCGGTCCCGAACCGCCTCGGATTCGATAACCGATATTTAGAACCTTGATCTTAACTAACGGAGAAAGGGTAAATTGCTAGAAACAACCAAAAGTGTCAAATTATTAAAAGGGACCAAATGTGTCTTTTAAACATGAGGGACTAAATGTCGAATTGTTGCAAATTTTAGGGATGAAAACTATAAATTTCCCAATAATTTAATACTAAATATAATTGAGAGGTAAATTATGGGGAAATATCAGTCTGGTGTAAGATTCCAAAATACATATAGAAACAACTAAAAAAAAGTAGTTGTCTCTCTCCATGTTTCAATATACCAAAGTGGTCTCCTAAAATAAAATTCCAAGGCATCAAAATTATTGCTTCCTCACCAAACAATGTATTCCATTTTTTGGTTGATGCTTTTAGCTTACTCCACTTTGGTGAGCACTGAAAAATTCACCAATGAAGGCACTAAAAGCATATTCATACTCGCCGGACAAAGCAACATGTCCGGTCGAGGGGGGGTCGTAAACGGTACGTGGGATGGATTCGTGCCGCCCGAGTGCCACCCCAATCCAATGATCCGACGGCTGAGGTCTGATCTCACTTGGGAAGAGGCGCGGGAGCCGCTCCACAAGGACGTGGACGTCAATAGAACTTGTGGAATCGGGCCCGGGATGGCGTTTTCCAATTGGGTTCTACAGAGGGACTTGGGCCTTGGGGTCGTCGGTTTGGTCCCGTGTGCCGTCGGAGGAACGGATATTAGCCGGTGGAGCCGTGGCGGCCGCCTCTATAACCAGCTGCTCCACCGAGCTCGGGCCGCCATGCACGGTGGTGGACTGATTCGGGCTATTTTGTGGTACCAAGGCGAGAGCGACACGGAGAATCTCGGGGATGCTAAATTGTACAAGGGGAGATTGGAGAAGTTCTTCGCCGATGTGCGGTCCGATTTGAAGTCGCCTATGCTACCTGTGATCCAGGTAACTTCACCGCCAGACCCGTTAACAAAAAAGTTTGATATTTTTTAACTTTCATAATATTTTTCTTGTATGTTTCAACAAAATAATCTCAAAATTAAAATCCAATAGTTTAAAAACATCAACAAGTGATAAAAATGAATAATAAAATC